CCCCCCCATGAGGTACATGGAAATAATAATTCCTTATATTTCACACTTGAAATATAAGCTGATATCTCACGCATGGAATATTATAAGCTGCCATCAAAATTTGCATACATTACGCCGCACACTATATTCGTCTTCTATCCTTCTGTAAACAAAGTCTATATTTCAATTAAAATATTATTATTCCTAGACCGTGCAATGTTATGGTACCTTTTACCCTCTTTAAAAACTTTGCTGTAAAGTAAAGTGTGTTTTCCATGTTCACCCAAAAATCAAATGATGGGCCAGACACCAGTCTCCCAGTCTTGCTACAGTTGAGAGTACGTGCGACCTTTCTGCGTTGCCCTTAATTTTGTTCCAAACTGAGTCAAATGGTGCACACCATAATGAACCGGGATTAGATCTACGTCAGAATGCAATGATGTATCCAAATTGCAATGCACACGTCTAAGCTAGAGAACGACTCTATGCTAGCAAACGACTCCTAGCCTGTCCTCCCTTTGGTATCACTCGTTGGCTAAATCATTATTTCCCACCATGCAATAGAAGTTTTATCTGCTTTCAATCGCCGCTGTCAAATGTCCTTTGAGGTCTGTTCAAATTATTTGTTTCTGAAATGTCTTTGATACGGGAAAGGTAAAGTAGGTATTTCATGCCCTGCACAAACGGTATGTAAGGTCATGCATTTGAAAGGTAAAATCTCTGAAGTTAAAGCCCATCGCCCAAAGGTACGTTGTCTAAAATAGCCATATGCACTGCTCACAGCCGAAAGCTCCGTATCCCGCACTCTAGCGTGGAGATCATCAGGAGAGAATGCGTCGCTGATTCGGGCTCTTCGTCTCTACAGCTTTAATGACGCACCGAGCCTCCTCACCGATGTGAGTCTCCATGCTAGTTCGACTGTTTTCCTCTGCTGCCACCCCTTAGGATTCATTCCAGCTTGCGTCCTCCCGCTTCAACCAGATCCAGTGACTGGCTTTCTCTACTATCTCTTGAAGGTGAATAACAGTCTTGAAAACTCCCAAAACAAGCATTGCTCAAGAACATTCCGTGGGTGATTTGAATAAAAATATCCCACACTGTAGTTTAGCATACTGACTGAGGTATTGGTGTGTCCCTCTTAAATATCAGGTGGAACGTCATAGAATATTAGCAAAATAAAATGAGACATCAGTAGTTTAGAAAGAGAAGGACAGAGAGACTTAAATGCTCCAGGCCAACACATAAAACATACCAAGCCAAAATGAGTCGACAGATTTGCTGTCAGTAAAGGAATACCCAGACTTTGCAACTGCGATTATAGGGGGCACTCTTTTGTGATTCTTGTAGTGAAATCTTTCAGGAATGTCTTTTTTCCGATATACGGTGAACGATCCCTTTTCCTCGCTTGCAGCTTTGAGGTTTTCATAAATGATGTCCTCTTTGCCTGCAACAATTGATATGTCGAAAAAAATAATTAGTTAAAAAGCACCTGATCAATATGTACAAATACAATAAATGGCATGTATAAAACACTTCAATTTGAAATCCTCTAACCAGATTTTAAAAGCCCATAAAAAATTGATGCTATATTCAATCAAAACAGATGTAATTGATCTATGCCATGCATACTTTGTAGCATGATTTACTAGTACAATGGAATTATAAAAGAAGAGTTGCCATAGACAGCATAAAGCATTTGCAGCATGCAGTAACACCTTTGTCATCTGAGATACATCTAGTGCTATGATATTCAAATAACACTCCAGTAGAAGAAACTTTACAAAAGAGAAGAGTACAATACAATGTAGCATACAGCCAACTTTCTTTTAGACAAACCTACTTTAATGATTTATGACAATCTTTCAAAGGGTAATAACTTTTTAGTGTGTGAATGACATACTGAGCACTTCAAGTCTTCACGTTTTACTCACTGATGATGTCATGGTAGGCGATTAACCCTATCCGTACGTCCAGGGTCATTTTGTACCCCAGGGGTTGTATTCCTCACATTTTAGAATACTTGTAGCTCGAAGATCTCTTTGAAACTTTCAGCATTTCTTTTCAAAAATCATTTTGACAGACTGCTATGCAAAGCGTACGGATTGGATTAACGAGTAAATTTTCTCTTTGGAAAGTAGGGGCACAGATTTTCCCACGTCGTATGGATACGATAGTAAAAACGAGGTAAAGATAGGGTTAATTACTCTTCTCAGCCATAAGGTCTCATGTGCAAAATGGGAAAAACTAGACGTGCTGAAGCCTAACATTTTGAGTGAATCATAAGTACTGGTTCAGAATTGCTGCATTCAGTGCCATTTTTTAAAATTACAGGCCACCTTTACCATGTAGACCAGGGGTTCTTGGGGCTGTACCAGTACTGGACAAAGAACAAAATAATGTTTTTACTTATTCTGACAACTTGAAACAGACACATTACAACTCATCAGCATCCCGGTGTGCGCAACAAACAACACACAGTTCACGACTGTACTACTCGTTCTCCTGTTTCATGACCATGCCTTGCCTTGTACAATTAAAATTTGTTGTTTGATTTTTCTAATTTTCTTTCTCCAGATTTCAAACGCCAATTGGGAAGCAAAACAATTATCTAACCAAATTTTGAAAGTCGACATTACTCAAAAAGGGTGAGTGTCTCTTTGTTTGTTTTGTTTTTGTAAAGTGTTTTACGGTGCTCGCAACTGCATAAGGTCATATGAGCGCGAATTTTGCCCGAGTGGCGGCCGAAGCCTACTCTTATCGATTTTAGACCACCAAGGGATCTTTAACGTGCGCAACTTGCACACGGGCTCTCCGAGATTTTTCGCCCCTGTCCGAGAAGGCTAGGTATATATCTTTCCTACCAGAAGATCAGGGGTGTGACAGAAAGACAGCAGTAAGGAGGAGCCAAGGAGTAGCAGTAGAAAGGCTGCAGAAAGAGTCAGGAGCCAAGAGAAGGGGGCAAAGGAGGTGAGGGGGTGGGGGCAGAAAGTGGAAATGAAAGCAGACAACAGAACATTGTTAGAGAGCGGGAAAGGGGGTGAAAGGAGACAATTTTAGAGAAGAAAATATTTCGGTCGCTACCCGGATTCGAACCCGGGACCTTTGAATGACCTCTAGGCCAATAGAGCCCCTGTGTGTCTCTGTGTATATAACATGTGTACAAATAGTACGTCCGCCGATCTATGGGTTGAAGTGCAAGTACGAGGACAGGAAACTGTACTACCAATACATTTCTCTATTATAATTGGGAGAATATAATATACATGTACATCAGTACCAGACCATAATCACCAAAATAACAAAGCTAAGTGCAACAATCAAAGTATTTAGAAACTTGATGGTGGGAAACGCTCCAAGAAAAGATAGCAAATGTCCCCCAGAGCTATAAATATAAATGCAATAAAAGTATCAAGAATTGGAACCTGTACCCAGAATTTAGAAAGTACGATCCGAGAAGCAAATCGAAAGCAATAAAAGTAATAGGTGTAACCAACTACAGGAGCTGAAAACAATGGCCTTTTCTAGATTACCCATAATAAATACATTAGTCTCCGCCTAAGATCTCAGTGCTCAGGAGCAAGGAAAATGTGTGGTCTTAGGCGAACGGGATCTTAACCGATGCACCGAGGAAAGAATCCACGGTGACCCATGTTCAGGCCCTCAGTTGGTAAAACTATGGTCTCCCTTTACTCTAAAATAAACTGACGCGACCCGTTTTTAAGTTTAATTTTAGTAAAGGTTTTACTAAAGGTTTTACACGCAACTGCATAAGGTCATATGATCGCCAAGTGGGTGGGTTTATGACTTGTGGCTAGCAATAGTGGTCAATCTTGATGACCAATCACAGTAGTATGAGGAGTGCCATTTTTATGTAATATCATGTCATGAGTCTCAAGATCTACGCTTGTCCAGTTGACCCTCCCCTTTATTTGTCCGAAGTTTATTGCTTCACATTTCTGACCGAGTTCCCCCGCCTTTATCGTTATGCACTATTGTGCTGTGACACACCAATTAAAATTCAGGGTCTCGAAAATTCGGGAGTAGAGACAACTGCTGCAATGGTCTGGGAAGATTTCACAACTCGATGAGATCCCGCCTGGAGCAAAGTTGTCGGCATTACCCACCCAGCATATGATGTAAGTTTAGGTGGGGAGCTCATATTATGCCGGTACGATGTTTGAGGAAAACCAACACGTCGGCGAGTTCACACCTTGGTGTGATCCCAGTTGGAGCAAAAAATATTGCACATACCGTTTCGACGAGATTTACAATGGAACATGCGATCACATTCACGAAAGTGACTGATCTGTGACACAACGGCCACTTCACTGATCGCAATTTTTCACTCTTGGTTGATCTGGTGCGCCCGCCCGGGGTTTTTGTTCCGTAAATTATGATCTGAAATGCGGGATTCAGCCGAATGTAGACTAGAAATTCAGAGTGGGCTCTTAGGGGAGACTTTTGTGTGGTCAAAACAGCGGGATCTTAAGCGAACCGGGACTGAAAGCCTTGGGATCTTAAGCGGAGATTACTGTACCAGCATGTTTCCACTGGTTTGGCAGTTTTTACAAATTTTTTGGGTTTTTTGGCTTAACATCTTTTAGGTCCATTAAAAATTAATAATACATGTTTTCTGTGTGGATCTTATTGAAAAACGTAGGTCAAAAGCACAAAACTGTAGATTTGCAGTTTCCAAGGACACTGCAGCTATGGAAGTCATCAAACTTTGACAGCCAGATTCTTACTATATCTAATCTTACCTCTGAAACAAGGTCGCACCCACCTTTTTCAATCACTATTATCTCGACTTCTATTAAAGAAAGGTGAACATCTTTTCACCGAAAGAGAGACAAATAAACAAGCTTGAAGATGAAACATAAACTCCACCAGCCCAAAAACGGACCAGTGTCAGATTCAATTACGTAGTCGCGACACATAGATCTATGGTTTTAATCAGTCAATGACACGACGTTGTGGAATCAGGCATATCCTTTTTTATATTATACAAGTCAATATATTAACGATTGAAGGAGGTGGGGGTCACCTGGTTTTAGAAGTAAAATCAGCGAGAAAATGGCCGCCAAAGTTGAGTTGTTTCTTCAGCTTGTGAGTCACTGCAAACTGAAAATTTACATCTTTTAAGTCTTTAATTAACGTTTTTCTGTTGAATCCACACAAAAATATGTTCTTTAATGGGCATGAAAGGTGTTGAGTCAAAAAACCAAAATTCGATAAAAATTCCCAAACCTGCGGAAAAATGCCAGTTTTTTACTTTCATTATTTGATGAAAGATGGTTCTTTATTCCTAGGGCAGAAAGGAAGAGAAAGCTGGAGGGGGGGGGGAAGAGCAGAGGCGAGGAAAGAGAACTTTTATAGAGAGAGAAAGAGAGAGAGAGAGGAGAGAGACAGAGAGAGAGAGAGAGAGAGAGAGAGAGAGAGAGAGGGGGGGGGGAGGGGGGTGCAACTTAAACATAATAATACTATACCTTCAGTTGGTAGGAGGGAAGCAATGGAACCTGGCATAAATGATGTGTGCCTATACCAGCTAGAGTCTATATAATCATCAAGCAATATCAGGCGCTCCTTAGACACTGAGACAAAGCCATGATCACTTGTAATGATGATGTCCGTTGTTGAGAGCAGTTCTTTGGCCTCAAGTTCTCCAATAAGGTAGCCAACAACATCATCATCGTGTTGTATCTTTTGAGTTACTTCCTCCGAGTCCGGTCCATACGCGTGGGCTGTTTTATCGGGCTCAGAGAAATATGCAACACCTAGATTAATAGGTTCTCGTTCATCTGTAAACCAACTGATAAGAGAATCAACTTTTTCTTTGTCCGTGACAGCATAATCGAGACGAATATGCTTTGTTGGGCGAATACCTTTGATTGCAGCCTCTCCGCCCATCCACATAACAACTCCACTTCTCCCAGTTTTCTTTTGAAGCTGATTTGTCACCCAGATTGGTTCTCCTACAGTCTTATGCCAATCAGGATGATTGACAGAATCTTTGTCGAAAAATTTGGGAATAAAAGTCCTGTCTGTTTCTGATTCATACATGAAATTATCAACAATGCCATGGCTTTCAACATGAAGGCCAGTGACAAGAGAAAAGTGATTAGGAAGAGTATTTGATACATATTCATTAATTAAACCTTTAGTAACATACACTCCATTCTTTCGGAAACGATCGAAATTCGGAGTTTCAGTCCGCCCATTCAGATAATCCCATCGAAACCCATCAAATGAAATCATGAGTAGCCTCCTCTGGCCTCGATTTCTATCCTCTGTACCGACAGTGTCTCCTTGTTGTTGAGCAAGAGTGGCTCCAATAAGAAAAAATGCAATGATAAACATTGTCACCGACAACAATAAGTGGACAATCGAGGGCTGGTTTTCTCTTGTAGCGTATCCCTAGCACTAGCACTGACAACAACAAAGTGTCTCGTAAATGTCATTTATAAAACTATAATCTAATCACCGATCTGTTCAGTTGTCGGACGAAAAAAGACTGTTTCTGGTAACCACTAACTGGTGTAGATCTACTATAACTGTTACCCTGGCAGCAGGCCTCCACAGTCATGAAATGGAACTGATCTGAATCTGAGTCAGTCAGTAGTCTGTGTTGTTTGTTGTGGCTTCCCTCAGGCCCCCAGCTGTTGCACAAGTAAAGGGACATTACCTGTATTACCTGCATTACCTGTCCTGGGCAACAACGTCCATGCACCAAAGATAGTACACAGTACACAGGGCAGGTCCATAAATAGCCTAGGGGACATCATTCTCTCTTAAAGGACTCGACATTGAAAGCTGTAAATAAAGAGTTCTGTCCCTTTCCAAAGCCCAAGACTGCGATTGTTGACATCATTGCTGACACTGACATCCGGAGACTGGTAAAGTGTGGAACAAAAACTTTAAAATAAATTAAGTAGATCTAGCACCGTATTGTGTCAGTGTCAGTCAGTCTCACTAAATTTGGTAGTTAACAGCATGATCACAACCACTTCAACAATAATAATTAAAACAATATCGGTAACAACAAAATGTTAATAATGATAATAATAACTGCTAGCTTATTAATGATTATACATTAGAAGAAGAAGAAGAAGAAGAAGAAGAAGAAGAAGAAGAAGAAGAAGAAGAAGACGCCAATAAATATACCACTATAATAAAATCTTACTGCTCTCTACAAAACAGCTATATAGTATTGTATGTTCCGCGTAATTTACAGATCGGCGTTTTCACGATCGACATAATAGCGGGGCAATGTTAGGATTGTGCTGCTCGTTTTAACAATCATAATAATATAATTGTATCATTCTTGTGAGCTCTTTAGTTCGTTTTATAATATGTATATATGCATGTATACATATATATATATTAAGGGTGGGCCGACTCCGAGAACTTCCGAACTTTCGACTCCGAACATTTTTGGGCGCGAATTCGTCGACTTCGACTCCGAATTTGAATTCAGGTCAAGATAGCAGCCAATCAAATTTGAGGAGAAGCAAGGTCAATTCGGTGGGATTCGTGTCAAGTCAAGTCGTTCTCCCTACATCCGTCGAGTCGAACACGCTGTAAAGAATCCCACGCCACGGACCGGTATGGACAAAGGGGGCGGGGAGGGGGAAGGAGCAGGGAAGAGGTCACAGAGGTCGGGATTGAGGCACGCAATGTTTTCATTGACATCAGGGGAGGGCACCAGTTTGTTTTGAAAGTTATTTGCCCCTCGTTGACAGTACAGTCTGAGTACTAGAGGTGTGCGAGTCCAGCATATTAAGATTCGAGTCCACACTCGAGTATCTGCTCTGGACTCGAGTTATTACTCGAGTAATTACTCGAGTCCCACGGCTCTTAAGACTCGAGTAATAACTCGAGTAATAGTATCCCGAAAGGGAATTTTAGTGGGTTTCAAAAAAAGTTTTGTTGAATATCGGACAGAAAATAGAGTGCCTTCCTAGGAGGGAGCTTGAGTAGGCTTATGGCAATTCTAGACACATGCTGTTTATACCGTATTTATTTTATTTTATCTTAGGAAGTGGCTATTCTCACCCCAGGTGAGAATAAAAATGTGATCGACCTCTCACCCCGGGTGAGACTTGCCAGCGTTGGCTATTCTCACCCGGTGTGAAACAAAACCGGTTTTTCCTAATTTCTGAATACTTCCTATAGGGGAGGATGATTAAATAGACAAACCCCTTTTTAAAAAAATGATATTATAACACAAAAGTAAAATTAATTTGGCGGTCTACAAAGATGCTATGGCTATTTCACTTTTAGAATAGAGCCTAATCGGCATTTTGTTTTCCCCAGAAGTTCTCGCTATATCTAGGCTACTCCCCCCCCCCTCTCTCTCTCTCTCTCTCTCTCTCTCTCTCTCTCTCTCTCTCTCTCTCTCTCTCTCTCTCTCTCTCTCTCTCTCTCTCTCTCTCTCTCTCTCTCTCTCTCTCTTTCAATGCCCGCAGATAAAATTGCATGTTTTTAACACAAGAGAACTGGAACGTTTGTTTACACCACAGAATTCAATTTTAAAAAATGTAGATCTAGAATTCTGTGGTTTACACTGGGTATCACGGTAAACGCACACAGGAAGAGAATAGCCAAAAGGCTCGTTCTCTCACCCCGGGTGAGTGAGAAGCTTACAACTGTATAACAACTAAGCTAGAATAGAGGTGGTCTTTATCTTATCTTTTCTTATTTTTTATTTTTAAAAAATAATTCTGTTACAACAGTAAGAATAAAATGTACACAGACTGTAAACCTCAGACAGTGCACTTCATAAAAAAAAGAATTTTGATTGGACATCGTGGGCTTTTAACAGTGGTTTGCTTTTTGCTTTTTTCTGGGGGGGGGAGGTTCGTTTTTTACCTTTGGGGGAAGGGATTTTTTTGTTTTTGTTGTTTCTTTTCCTTCAGTTTAAAAAATTGCTTATTAGAATGTTTCTTTTATCTTTTTTTAACTTTAAAAAACCCAAATTTTTCTCCTTTTTTCTGTTTTTTCCCCCTACAGACTCGAGTCTGGACTCGAGTCCTTACTCGAGTCCCTACTCGAGTAATTTACTTGTGACTCGAGTCTGGACTCGCTGCATGTATTACTCGAGTACTCGAGTCTGGACTCGTTACTCGCACACCTCTACTGAGTACAGTACACTAGTACAGCCGCTTTCATGTGCGAGGATAATGGATGCAAACAGGTCATAATAAAAATCAAAGCATAAAATCCAGCAGTCTCGAACTCTACAGTCAGACCATGCATTAATCAAAGCAACAGTCAGCAGGACAGAAGTCTATAAAAAATAACAGTAATAGATCTAGATCTATCTATATCATAATCAACATTTATTATTACAAGATGAAACATACAAGGTTGAAAACAAACATGGAGTAATGCAAAAGAGACAAGAAATGTGACAATGTAAATGTAAGTGCCAGATAGGTCGTAAGAAAATACATGTAGATAATACAATGAAGAGAAGAAAAGTAGTGAAATGTGTGTGATCGCAGTGAAAGTCAAAGAAAGAAGGAGGCTGGGATAATCACGGGATTTGAATTTGACGTGAAGATGGCTTGCAATTGTGACTGGTGCAATCAGAGACGCAATGCTCGCCCGTCACCGTAGTGCGTAAATTTGACCTTGGCCTCTTAGGGCATAACCACCAGCAGATGGGATTTGTAACTACTAGCGAATCAGCGCGTTCTAAAGGCTCATGTAAATTTCATTGAGTCGATGTAATCGTGGGACGGTCCAATGCGAGCTCGCCGCTTCCTTCTGAAGAAAATAGAAATCAGACATCGTGTTTTATGATACTTTTCAAACTTATGCATTTTTATTCATTTATTGGTAAATCTAAATTTTGAGTGTCCAAAATGTTTCTTAGGTGCAGTTTTGCGTAAAATTATTCACAGTTTTAAACAAATTAAATATGTTTTCGCTCCTCGTGATCTATTTTCCCCTTGGCTGCCCTAGTTCGTGAATTCGTGTTCAGACTCGTCCTCCTGCCCGCCCAATGTTCGAGCTCAGACTCAGACCCCACGAATTCGTCGAATTCGAACCTCGACTTGACTTCGCCCATGCTCATATATATATATATA